GAGGGCGAGGAGGCCGGCGGCGGGTGGTCTGGCGGCGGTGGCGGCGGCGGCGTCGGGGTGGCCGCGGTGGCGGCGGAGGGGCTGTGCATGGGGCGCAGGAACTCGGGCAGACAGGAACGGAAACCAACCGCCAAGATCCTTGGCACCGGTTCTATAAATACTCATCTTTACACTAATTGGGGGTGTAAATTAACCCACGGTAGGAAAGCTGACTAGACATGTGCTAAAACTGAGCGGATCTGCAGCTTCCTGCAGCGCAGCGGTGTGCCCAGTCACGCGTTCACAGGCCAGATGAGCCAAGCCGACAAGGCCCTCATTTTCGCCCAGTGGCGTGCTGAGCCGGGCTGCTGTTGATTTGGCCTTCCTAAGTAGTGTAGCCAATACATTGAAAGTGTCATCTCGGAGGGCGGAGAACGATTCAATATATCTCCCAGCAAAATAGTGGTTGCGTCTTAAACAAAGCGATGAGCACACTGAACTTCTAATCAAACGCGACAGGGGAGCGTGCGCGAACAACTGCGAGACTTACACATGTAGTTGGTTAAATAGCGACATCAGAAAGAATAAAGGATTGGCCACGTGGCGGTATACGGCGACATTTTTTGTTGCATAATTTCCGAAAGCAAAATCAAGCCCGTGATAAGGCATGGCTGCATTTGTTGCGTAGTTCCCGAAAGCAAAAATCGAGCCTATGATTTCACCGAGGCCAGGACACATCGGAGCTGCAGTTAGAAGGTGCTCGACAGCTGGGTCGCGGAAGGCGTCGGAGATGGGCCGAGCTGTGTACGGAACTACAGCGGCCGGATCCTGCCGCGTCTCCATGATTGGCTGGTCCTTGACCGCATCGAACAGCTGTGGTGGGATGATGCCGTCGTGTTGGCTATGAGAATTGTCGACGAAGCCCACGTGTCCAAATGAGACAGGCAACATCAATGTTGTCTCTCGGTTCTAAATGCACTCACGACGCGGGAAGGCTCTAACTTTGCTTTCCTTGGCAGAATCAAGCAAGTACACCGACCTAGCACAGGCACTTACTCACACGTAATTTTCGGGTCACATTCTACAGACCATAAGTACATGTGTCATCATTCATGTCCACTTGTGATTAAGAGGGAAGGAACAAGTGCAAGCAAACGGTCCCGCCGCTGTACACCGGTGGGTTCATCATCCGGAATTATACCATGCCTCGTCGTTCGTTGAGCCCGCCGACTAATAAAAATGAAATCGGGCCGCCAGACTCAACAGGTCACTTTACACGGCGGAGCGCATCGTTGAAGAGCATTAAGAACGTCCAGCCGATTCTGCCGTCTGGGCTTGACTGCTGCCCGCACCGCCGTCCTTATGACTCCTGCGTTGGACGTTGTTGTCGGCAGTTGAATCAGCAACCATGTCGGAGTGCAGCACGTGGCCTGGACGGCACGGCAGGCTGCGGGTAAAGCCGCACAGTTCGCAGGTCGTCGTTATCCGCAGTTCGGGCTTATCTGAACAGACGGAGAGGGACGGAGAAAAAGGTGAGGGGGAAGGAAAGGGGGGAAGACAAGTTTGGCTGGATTAAAGTAGAGCGAGCAGCTGAACGCCAAGGACGGCATTCAACACCGCTTGTGGAAAGTGGGGAAAGAAAACACTGGGTGTGGTGGGATACAAGGGCAGAAAGGACGGCTTACCCAGCGTCCGGACGCTTGCCGTCAACCCAGGTATCAGTATTATGTCGCAGCGCTTGCACATAGCGCGTTTCGCGTGGGGATCACTGAAACGGACGTCCGCGTCAAGAAAGGTCCAATATTAGCCCGACCACCTCGATATGCAACCAATCTCTCCACCTGGTTTCTAACCCCCTTCCCTCCCAATCTCGCCGCACGTATCGCTCAGCGTAAGATGAGGACAAGGGAGGTAGAAGAGACTCACATCCGCACCACCATCTTGGCGCCAACTCGCTTGGCGGCGGCTGCGTAAAAGCGCGCGAGACCCGCGAGCGGTGGTCGCAGGCGGAGGTGGCCCTGCCGGATCCGGTTTGGCGCCGCCGTCGCAGCAGCGGCCGGACGCGACGCCGCTACAGCTTCGGAAGACGTCGTCACGGCGCCTGTCGCGTCCACAGAGTCGGCTGCGGCGGGTGGAGATGTGTGGTCCGCTGCGACGGTCCACACTGACGGCCGATCGGGTCCGGCCGGCGGATGGTTGACCTCGAGTGCGGCATCGGTGGGGTGCGAGACATCAGGCGACGGCAATTGCTGGTGGTGCCGACGGCGGACGCGGCGCTTTCTCCGGGCGACAGCCGAGGGGCTGCCGACAGGCCAGGCGGCAGTGGTAGCGGCAGCTTGGAGCAGGAAGTTCATGCGCAGCAGCGCGTCGCGGCCCTCGGCCTGCTGGTGCTGTTGCTGTTGCTGCTGGCGGTGTTGTTTGGCTCCCATGAATAATATGATTTTGTGGTTGGTTGGTGGACACACCCTGCCATTTCTCCCATGAAAAAGAGCACACACAGCCAAAAGAACACCAATCCTCCGGAACAACCACTCGCCCTCCCGCCGCTACCAGCATGTCCTGCCTTGTCTCGTAGTTCTTAGCAGTTCGTGCATAGCTGCTTCCCGATGCGCTATCTGCTCTCCACCCTTCGCAGCCACCCAATCTGGGCGGCCAATGCAAACAGACAGGGAAAATCCATTGAAAACTCGGCAAATTATCAGTAATTGCAGAATGAATTCGCTCGTGTTGATATGTTCGTGGAGATTCAGACATTGTTTTATGAATTTGTTCCATTATAATGTATATATATTTTTAAAAAATTTGACTTTCTCATAGCACGGTGGTGTAGTGGGATCACGTTGGGCTCATAACCCAAAGGTCAGCCGATCGAAACGGCTCTGTGCTACTTCGTTTTTTTTTTATTTTAGCTTCAGCTCTCCGACACAAAATGTGCTTGCCTATTACGACAGAGAACCCCCCTCTTTTTGCCTTGGTTATCTTAGCCATGATTCTTCAATAGGCTTATGAATGTTTAGGCGCCTTGGTTTTTCAGTCAAGACTACAAAAATACAACTCAAAATCATGAAAACCTTTCTCCCATTAAGGAGATGACCAACCCAGTTTTTAAAATATGCCCCATTTGTTGAAGCTGAGCTCCACCCCCCACCAGATGTATTACATTTTCTGCGTCGTGGACAAGTTTGACAAGGCAGCACACTTATGAAGTGAGTGGTTTGGATAGTCACCTAACAGAGGGCTGACTGGGGCCCCAACGCAGCAACATAAAAGCGATTGCGCGCCTCAATGAGCGCGAGCTGGAGCGGAACCTCACCGATAAAGGCTCATGGCATGATCAATTCAAGGCTAGTTTTCTGGCTCTGGTACTCTTCCTTGTGCATGCATCTGACATCAGTTCTGTGATTTCTGTCCGCTAGGACTCGGCCTACGTGTACGTCGGCGGGGTCCCATACAACATGACCGAGGGCGATTTGATCGTTGCATTCTCGCAGTTGAGTTTTTCTTTTCTGCCCTTCTTGGATCAATGTCAGGGTGAGGGGCCAAGAATCCCGAAGCACGGCCTCACGCTTGTCCGACCCACCCTGCGTATGGGGGAACTTTGTTTTTTAAAGATGGGGCGAGATCGTCGACGTCAACCTGGTGCGCGACAAAAAGACAGGAAAAAGCTTAGGCTACGCGTTTCTCGGCTACGAGGACCAGCGGAGCACCGTGCTGGCGGTGGACAACTTCAACGGCGCAACGGTACTTTCCGATTGCGCATCCCCTGGCACTTTATCCTTCACCTCTCTCGTTAATCTGTCTCGCCTTATTCCTTCAAAGATGACGTTGCTGTGCATTTGCATACCC